TTGATGGGGACGGATATCAGCGTTCTTTCTGAACCGAGGAACAGGGGCGCTGCGCCCTCTTACCAAAATCAATTCCTTGAATTAGGCTTTGATTATGTTCTGGCCCCCATCTTGTGGCTCAGCAAAAAATTGGCCCAAGGCCAAACTTACTTGCCTACCCTGATATACACTAACCTTAGGTCAATTAGATGATCAGCTTTGGTAACACAAATCAGTATTGTTACCGAGCCTGATAATCTATTGACCTAAGTGTAACGTTATTACAACAATAGAGTAGCCTGGTTGCAAAACGGGGACTCTATAGGCCAACGTGTTTATAAGCATCATGCTAAGTTAGCATTTAATACCACAAACATTTTTACAACATACAACTATTATTTACTTTATTAACGCTTAACGAGGTTGGAACAGTCGATGTATGTACTTTGATAACGAGACAATTGGTGTTTAAGAAAAAATGACATTACAATAAATATAAACATGCATCTCTGGAAATACTATTAGCGCTGTTTCATCAACTTGTTGTTCGGCCATCGTGAAAGAACGACTTATTCTGCGAGGATTTATAAAAAGCAGCTGGAATCCCTTAAATTGCATTACTGCAACCTACAGTATGTATTTCTGCTGAGTGTCATTCTATTGGATAAAAAAAGTTAGGAAACGCCCCCTATACGATCCGCCGCTATACGATCCGCCTCCTTGCTGCGGTCTGCAGCCAGACCCATCTCAAATTATTTGGGGTCTTTGACCGAAATGCTACCCTTAAGTACAGAAGGTTTTTTTGTATATAAGTTGTGCTTTCTGCCCTCCTGCTTTAACTAACTTGGTTTTCTTGTCCATTGTCTGTATATATTAACATCAAATGAGTCGAATAGAGTAGATTATGATAGTACAGATATCCATAGTGACCACCAGATGTCACTAAATTCCCCAAATTCTGACTGGAGGGTTTTTCTCAGCATTATTCTAATAAAATAATAAAACATACAACAAGCATGTCAGAAAAGCTTTTTATTTGTTACACAACATTTAAGGTTTATCCAGTTAATGCAAGTGTTCCTCTCTCCATGTAAAAAGTATAAAAAATGTTGAAGTACTGAAGGCAAAGTGATGACAAGCAGCACTTGCAGATAGAGGCCTTATTATTGTTGTGTAAGCCAAGCACACGCACACACACAAACACACATCAGTGTTCCCTGGATTTCGTTTTTGTCTCAACTGATAAATTGTGTAGATTTCTTTCACATTAAGAGTGTTTTTTTACAGATTTCGTGACGCTTGTGTCCATATTTCAAATAATCATAACGTTTTTTTCTGCTGCTTTGATTGATTGAAAAGTTTATTAACAGCTTGTATATTGGGTACAGTACAGTACAGCTCAAAACATACAATTGGTTAAGGGGATGCAGACCAGAGAAAGACTTTCGTCTTGTTTACATCAGGGTCCCCCATTTCCAATTCATCATATTTTTGGACCTTGGAGTGGTTGTTTTAAGTTAATTTGCATTAGTAAACACACAGTCATGATACAAATCTGGTTGAAAATCTGCTTTTCTTTCCTCAAATACCAGTAGACTGATTTGTTATGCAAAATAAATTGCAAAGAAAAATGGAAATCCTGTGAAAGAACATCTGGATTTAGTTTCCTATTAATGAAAACACTGACAAACACACACACACCATTGTTCCCTGGCATTATATTTGGTTTTTAAACTGATAAATTATGTGAATTTCTTTCACATTAAGAGTGTTTTTCCCAGATTTCGTGACGCTTGACACAAATAGTGGTCAAGATTTTTTTCGAAAATAAATCTATTATCGATGGAAGCTTTCCCTTTTTCCAAACATACATGAGAATAGCCTTCTGCCTTGTGACTTGGAGTGGTTGTTTTAAGTTAACTTGGGTCAAAGGCTCCTCCTGCATTAGTAAAATCAAACCGTGATACAAATCTGGTTGAAAATCTGCTTTTTCTTTCCTCAAATACCAGTAGGACTGATATAACCTGAAAAACAGGCCAATAAATCCTGGATTTAGCTTCCTATTAATGAAAACACTGACACAACACCCACAAACACACCCTTCAGCCTTTCTACCACCAAGGTCTGGACCATCCCTTATCGGAAGACGAACCTCTCGCCGTGGGGTGCCGTGGCCCCCGGCGCGGCAGCAGGGCGAGAACACCGGGGTCACGGCCCCCCAAGTCCTCAGGGTGGATTGGTGGCTTTGGGTGCCCGCCATGTCGGTGCGGTACCCAGCCGGGGCAGCAGGCGTTCACCAGATCTGAGGACAAAGGAGATATCAATAAATATCAACTAAATAATTCAATTCAAAAGGCTTTAAAGGAGGCCTTGTAAAAAATACACTTATGAAAAGACACAGAATGGATTAAAAAAAATAGTGCTCTATAATTAAAATGTGTTCTTAATTGTATTATTAAAGAGGTTTAATAAGAGTAAACTGACGTGCAGTGCAGCCATAGCAATTCATTTTCCTCTAATTAAACCAAAAACGAAAAACACTCTTCTGTTGTTTGATCAAAATATATAAAAGTTGTATTTCTGAGATTACCCCGTCATGAGGTCTCTCCTTCGTCAGGCGACGAGCGTGGATCATGGTCAGGACCTGAAAACACACAGATATGTTTTGTATTGTTAAAGATAGCCACATTGATTTTGTTTGTCTGTATATCTCCTGCTGAAATTACCAAACTTCACTTCAGGAATGCACTACTGACCTGCTACTGCTCCGACTTGTTAAATTCTCCATGTATAGTTTTTAATGACTTCTACTTGTGCAACCCCGTGTTTCAAAATGACAACATATTCTTAAATCCTGATGTCCTTTATAACAGAAATGATAAAAACGGACAAGTCCAATCAAGCAATCTGATTGGTTCTTAGCCGTGATATAATGAGCGTATATCACGGGTAGAATTGTAGTTACTTTTCACAAGACAGTATCCCTCCGCGTCTGAGAAAAGCTACAACCGTTATATTACGTCCGTCACGAAACAAACTAACTAACAAAGCTTAAAGGGGACATATCATGCTATATTTGAACAATATATTGTAGGGTCATACCTATATAAAGTATATAAATATAGTTTGTTTTTTTTAAATACCAAACAAATGCTGCATTTTAGCCATGCCTCATTTCGCTCTATTTGCTCTTTCCAGCCCTGTTTTTGCAGGGGGCTGATTCTGTGAGCTGCAGCACGCCCCCCTGCAGGAGAGGGGAGCGTGCTCTGAGATCAGCTGCTGGGCTGAAGAGGGGGAGAAAAAGAGATCTCCGCAGGGGCGGATCTACCCCCAGCTGCCCCCCTAACTTTTGTTTCCCTAAAACTGTACTAAAACAAACCTACACTATTTCCACAAGCTTCTCAAGCAACAAAACAAGCATTACATTAGTCAAAAGTGAATCATTTTAAATATCATTGTAGGCCCGTTAAAAAGGCAGCTACGACCCTGCATTAAACTGCGGAGCGGCGTTCACACAGACCGCGGCTCACACCGCTGCAGAGAGGGAACGAGCTGTCCCAGCACCTAGGGTGGATCAGCTTCCCCTGGGAGCATTTCTCTTTCCACTAGTTTGGTTTTTACTAAGGACGAGAGCTTGAAAATAAATATTAATAAAACGCAGCCGTTTGAATCGATAGCGTTGAACAGACGGGCGCTGTTTGGGGCGTTACGTTACAAAATACTACGCAGACAGCGTTAGCTGGGAGATCGATCACTTTGCTAAACTATGCGGTACTATTAAATCCACGTAAACTACACATCACAGCAATGAGGCCAGATCAATGAAACCAGGATACATCCTTTACCGTAAAAACTCGATCTAAACACAGCTGTCTGTGTGCGTTTGATAAATACTTTCTGATGTTATATTTATGATATGCTACATATTAGCTAGGCTACATGGCCCTAACGTGTAAAGTTATACAAGCATTTGTACCAGTGCTTTTCACAAGTAGACTCTTGCAGGCCAGAGTATAGGAGTGATTCAACAACAGCACAAAGACATATCTGAGAAGAGATCAGGACGAACAGAAAGAGGAAAAGGAAAAGAGAGATGAAGAGACCAAGAGGGTCAGAGCAGGAGGAAGAGGAGGAGATGAAGACATTAGTGAAGAAGAAGACATGTAGGCTGTGAGGATTGGAATAAAGATGAAGTGTCAGAAAGAGGGACAGAGGCAGGGATCAGGGAGCAGATGAGACTCCAGCTGACCACATGGTAGTTTCTTATTCTGATTCCTTACATATTCCATCACAGGCAGCTCTTAGTATTAGACACATATTGAAATGTGTTGCTGCACAGGTCACCTTTAGCTCTCTGAAGAGATGGGTGATGTCATTTGTGTACTTAATTATAACTAAGTACTTACAGTATGCAGAAATTCTGAGTATTCTCTGAATCGATGCCTTTTGGTGTCTTTATATCTTTGAAAGATTAAACCAAAATGTTTGGTCATAACATCTGGTAGTGGACTACGTACATTTATATAAATATATAAATAATTACTGAGGAATTCCTTGAAAAAATGTAACATGGTGTGAAGTTTTTGACAAAAAGTAGGCATGAGACCTTGTTTAGCTAAGATATGGCGACCACATGGAAGTCAAGGACATTACAAATTGTTTATTTTGTAATAAACAATTATTTACTGTTATTAATTCATATACAGAGTTGAAATGTTGAGCTTGTCAATCTTAATCTGAAAATACAAAAACTGAAATAAGAGAAGAAACGGACACTTTCCTTTCTTTGCCATCTTTTCTTCAGAAGGACTTTTGTGATGTAATTCCCTCAACGCAGATCACACATGGACTGATCCATTATTTTAACTTAATAGAGGGTAAATGGTATGCGCTTGATGGGGTTGAAAACAAACTGAGGGACGTGTGTCAATATTGCAATTTCATAGATAATTCAAGTATTTTTTCAGAATTTCTTTTGATCAGTTAAAGTTGACAAGCATATGATTATATTAGCTGCAACATTTTGGGATAATTGGCCCATTTTGATTTGTTTAATATTAAATGAATATGTAATAATGCTTAGTGAGGACATGCAAATATGTCTGTGTCTACTACTAAGACAACCAATCTTTTAAAAACAAAATATATTATAATGCAAAACAACCTGTTCCATTAATTCATTGCTTTAAAATAAATTGTATAGTTTCCTTTCATTTAAAATTGTTGAAGTAAGCTTGGGGGACTCAAAGGGCACCGATTGTTTGTCTGAACACCTTGTTTCTCTTGTGCATTAAGACACTTGTGTTAGGGCATGAATATTAACAATAAATAGGTTATATACAGTATAAAATACCATGTACTGTCCCCCCTCCCATGCCACCCTGGCATGACCTCTTGCCCCCCCTTTGCCACCCCATGTAAAAATTGTTCTAGAACCACCACTGGATCTCCGTCCTCCGTGTTTTTATTCTTATATATGATATATAGAGTCATTATTCATTTGTTTTAAAGCTCAATAAATAACAAAGAAGACCTTTGACCGGCACTTTTCTAATTTTGTCCGGAAGATTTAAACTTTAACGGACATGTTGACCGGCGAAAAAATGTGGAGAATTGACCACTACGCGGCGCACCACTTCGGTGACGTAGAAAATAATTCAAATCTGTATCAGATCCGTTTGCAGCCCCGTTTTTAGAGATTTAAGTACGGGATACGGAAAAGAGAGAGGGTTGTGTTTTCTGAACAGACTTGGTGAGTTCCCTGACACACGGGGAAACATATTATGTATAAAAGACGTACAAAAGTGTATTTTGCACGATAGGTCCCCTTTAAGATGACACATTTAAAGTAACTTCGACCTCCGGGGTGGCCCTTACTATGGAGGAGTGGATTGAGCAGTGCCTATCTCCAGAAAGCACCTAATACAACGACATGCAGAAGCTACAGTACGTGAAGAGCAGGTAGACCAACTGGAAAAGTACCACCCATTCAAAGCTTTCTGACGCGGGTCTTGAAAGCAGAGAAATGATGAGCGTTAGTGGCCCACAGGTGCGAAAGCTCTCTCCAGAGCTGCTGTAAGCCGAATATCAGGGGGCGGAGAAAGTGGAGCAATATTCCGCCACGCCAAAGCAACAAGCCTAGATCAGGGTGCCCAGACCAGGTCGATCGGGGAGATTCCCAGTCGAGCGCGAGATTGTGTCTAAAAATAGAACACCAATATTCAGTTTTATCGTTAATGTCCTGTAACATAATCTTCCGGTGCCAGAATAATGCACTTGAACGCATCAAAGCTTTGTGATTGGCCGGCATGACCCCATGTGTCGGGGCGTGGCTGGTGGGCAGTGGGCACTAGTTCGCTGACGTTGTCCGTGGCAACAGGAGTGACAGTCCGCACACACACAAGACCGCAATTATGGCAGAAGCAAAAAAGCCCAAAATATATGATTTTCACTCCGAGTGGGAGGATGATTATTTGTGTATCTATTCCAATTTAAAGTCCATCCGTCTCATCTGCAATGCGAGCGTGGCTTTATCGAAGAAGGGTCATTTAGGAGCGGCATTTCAAAACAGTGCACAAACGCTACGAGACGGAATTCCCTCCTAATTCTGCCCTACGCTCCAAAAGGGGAGGGGCCTGAGAGGACAGCTAAATGCACAGCAGTCCATTTTCACCAGGCCCAACAACAAGAGCAAGGCTGCTACCAGAGCATCTTATCGTGTCAGGCACGTTCTTGCGAAACACATGAAGTCTTTCAAAGACGGCGAAGTTGTGAAAGAAGCTTTCCTGGAGGCTGCTGACGTGCTTTTGGGGACAGTAAAAATAACAGCAGAATTTCAACAGGTTTTTGATATAATAAAAACTCAAGTTAGATACCGTTATTAATCAGCTGTAAGTTTTAGTTTGTTTGAACTTATTCATTATAATTAATGTACAAAATGGTATAAGAATGCAACCTCTGGTTGCTGGCATCCTATTTTAAAAAAGGCATTTATTTTTATAATCTACTAAAATGCAACAAAAAAGGGTTTGATTCTATTAATGTTGTCTTTTTTATTGCACTTTGGCAGCAGATTCCTGAGTAGCTTCAGATCTGAGTTGTCTTATTAGTAAGCCTCATTTATACTTTTGTAGCAACACTATTTTTATATAATGGCAAAGAAAGGGTTCAGAGTCTTTTCTTTTTTCCCTGTGTCATATGTGGCAGCACTGTTCAATGCTTCTTAAAACATTACCCACTGTAGTGACGTGTGAATAAACTCCAACTCTGTATCAACAACACTGTTGTGTAACTTCAGTTAAATACTTGTGTGTAGATTAGAAAGAGGTGAGATAAAGGATCTGCAGTATTTTATGAGGTATTCATCGTACAAAGGTCAGTTTTATACAAGTAGAAGTGTGTATGTACCTGGTAGTAGGCTGTCAGTAATGGCCTCTCTATTTGGACTGGTAGCTCTCGGTTCAAAAAAGGTTGGGCACCGCTGGCCTAGAACAACCTCAGCCTATACAAGTAACCTCGTAAGCCATGCTACTGATGCTGGACAGTTTTTCAGTGGGTGCACAATAAACGGCAACATACACATTAATGTAACGGCAATAATTAGCTTTGCGTCGGGCCGAACCACGCCCCTTAGCTGTGATATAAGGACCATATACCACGGCCTGTCGTGAGCTATTGCTTAAATATAAGTAATATTAAATACAATATGTTTTTTTGTGTGAACTCCTACCTGTCCTGTCATCTGATACTCTACAGCAGTGGTTCTCAAAGTGTGGTCCGTGAGTATACTGGTAAATGTTCACATTTGAAATAAATAAATGATGAATAAAAGTGTTTCTCAAATTGTTTAAACATAGGTGGCAACAGAGACTCATCAGTCAATGAGTGCGTAAACAATGCTAAGTAAATGGCAGTGTAAATAATTAACTTGTGTTTAATGTTGAAGTCATGTTAACTCTACATTAACAGAGGGTGTATCTTATATTATAAAGGATTGCTTATAGATAGGTAGACTGATGATTGGTCGTACCGTGAGTCCTGTTTTGGACGTCCCGTACGCCGTGTTGGCCCAGCCTCCCTTCTCATGCTCGCCCTTTTTGGCCAGATCCACAAACTGCTCCATCAGACCGGTCAGCTCCTCCTCTGTGATGTCATCGCTACGGAAACGCTGCTGCAGGGCGGCGCTGCACTTGTTCAACGTGCGAGCGCCGACGAAGCTGGAGACGTTCACCACACGACCTGAAACACACACACAGATTCAATTCAAGGCTTTATTGTCAATTGTACATTAGCTACAGTGCATAGGTGAGTAACACCAACAGATGGAGGATGGGTGAAGCTGACCTCTCACAGAATGTCAAACTGATTCACCAAGTGGAACTAAAGAAGATGAGTGTGTTTATAATAATATAATATAGATCCAACAGTTCTCTGTCTCACCTCCAGATTTGATGAGCGGCAGGAAGTGAGTCAGCATGTCTCTGGTGGCGAAGTAGTTTGTCTTCAGGGTCACTTCGGCCTGGACTGGGAAGGGAGCGGGGTCTGCGTCTGGAGAGAGAGAGAGAGAGAGAGAGAGAGAGAGAGAGAGAGAGAGAGAGAGAGAGAGAGAGAGAGAGAGAGAGAGAGAGAGAGAGAGAGAGAAAAAAAACCCACTTTATTTACATATTTAACAATTGTACATATACTTCAAATAAAGTGCTTCATTGTGCAAATAATCGATTTACTTCAAATCAATAATTAAAAACTATCTAATAAAACGTGTGCAGAGAGCAATAGGTAGGTAGGTAGGTAGGTAGGTAGGTAGGTAGGTAGGTAGGTAGGTAGGTAGGTAGGTAGGTAGGTAGGTAGGTAGGTAGGTAGGTAGGTAGGTAGGGTTAGGGTTAGGGGTTAGGTAGGTAGGTAGGTAGGTAGGTAGGCAGATAGTGCACCTTTACGCTACCTTTGAAAGCGATGCCAGCGTGTTGATGAGGACGTCCACTCCTCCGTACGTCTTCTTGAAGAAGGCGGCGGCGCTGACGATGCTTTTCTCATCGTTGATGTCCAGCTGATGAAACTTAGCCGTCAGTCCGTCAGCGGCCAGAGATTTCACCGCCTCATCTCCACGACCGCTGCAGAAACACACTTTACTCTGATGGAAACACATCTGCTGGCTTACGGTGTTTTTGTGTTTGTTTTACTAAATCTCCTGGAGAGATTCTCTTCATGCATTATCTGAGAGTAGTTTGGGGTTCAGTATCATGAATAAATACATAGAGACTAATCAAACAGAGCGTGTTGCTGCCAGGTGTGTTCAGGTGTGTAGGTGTGTGTGTGTGTGTACCTGTCTCTGGCAGTCAGGTAAACATCTCCATTGTAATGCTGCTGACAGAGCGCTCGGACAATGGCCAGCCCGATGCCCTTATTACTGCCTGTTACCACGGCGACCTTGGTAGACATGTCTGTCAACAGAGAGACACACACACACACACAATCAGAAATGCAGATGATTGACTGAATAAACAAGATAACATGTGCAGAATCATGATACGTAGTGTTCTTCAAATTGTCTATAATCTATTATAAGTGGATTTATGAAACCTGTAATTGGTGAACTGGTATTGGACATAAGAACAGACACATATTACTCTAATAAAAAATGTGACTATATAATGTACAAAACTCACTAAACACACACAAAGCGAGGGCGGGCTCTTTCCAAAATAATTTCCAACAATGTTATCACCTTTGGGAGGAGATTAAAAAGGGGATCAAATGAGCTGAGTCATGGTGACGACTTCATTTCAAAAAAAGACTTCAGACAAAACTGTGAGAATTGGTCCTTAAAGTTGTCTATAATCATTATAACTTCAATTAGGAAACCTGTGATTGGTGGACTCGTATCGATAGTAAAAAACAGGCACTTTTTACTCTCATAAAAGACATTAAAAGGAGGCATTTATACTGTAAACTTTTGCACATTCGCTGGTTAATATTGCACATTTCTGCATAAAAACGTACAGCCATTTCACAGATGTATCTTTTTTCCAGGTAGCCTACGTTTCATATGTTTTATAGTTGTTTTTTAGTCTATATTGATATTTCTTGGCTATTGCAATACTTGTTTTTTATTAGTTTTTTCTCTTAATATATGCATTGCTTTGCACACAGCACCACGGCTCATTCGTTGTTACTCTATTTCGACACCTAACAGGCAATAAGGCCAGTGGGTTCAGCTTAGAAATGACTATTAAATCAAAAATCAATCAATAAAAGTGCACAGTCCTGCCAGCAGATATGACCTTAACACACACACTTCTAACATGTCATGCAAACTGGTTTTAAAAGCATGACTGCGTTGTGAAACTAAAACTAACCTTATATAACTCGCAAATCAAGATATTAAATCATAATAATATGAAGGGTTAATTGCAGCTTTTCAGAGAGGACCTTTTGCCTGCTTTCAGATCCTTTTTTCTGCGTTACATAACACTGACTCGCTTATTTCAGTTAGCATAGTAAAGCAGCCCATTTTCAGACAAATGCACACATTAAAATACACTTTCCTGAGTGTTAGCAATGTGCTAACTGTTTCAATAGCAGGTGAAAGGGAGGATTCTTACCTGTAGTCTTTGGTAGAGAGGACCTGAGGTGTGGAAGCTGCAGAGAAAGTGAAGAAGATCTGCGCAGTGAAGCTGAAACTCATATGGAGAAAATGGGAGGAAGCTGGAGGTCTACTGCGCAGTGTCAGTGCGCATACGCGGAAAAACAAGTGAACCACGTGGTCTAACAGCAGCCGCCGTGCAGGATCGAGATTTAGTGCAGATGAGACAATTATATAGGTATTGTATTGACTGTTTATGTATTTAATGTGTGTTTTAATGCATTTGATAAAGAGGATGTGTTTCTGTATATGGCGTATTTGCAATCAAACGCGATTTTAACAACCTTCTCAATGGTATTATGATTTATTTCAGGTATTTTGTGTTAGATGTTGTTTTTAACAAGGTGTACTTATTATAAGGCATTAGTTGTTCATATGATCTATAAGTTAATCCATGTAAGTTACAGGAGAGGGTCTTTGCTTCAGTGATAGCAGTGATGGGCAGTAAATAAGTACATGTACTGTATTGTACTTTACTCCAAATTGGAAGTACTTGTACTTTACTTGAGTACTTTCTGTTCATGCCCTTAAATACATCTACCCTACTACAATGCAAAGGGAAGTATTGTACTTTTGACTGTACATTTGTCTTACAGCTTTAGTTACTACTAGTCTATTAATTCAGATTTCTGCATGAAAACACAGACTTTAACTAAACTGATGTTTTGTTTTAGACATTATTATATTCAACAGTTTATAGTAACCGCTGAATAATTAACCGAGATTAAGCTAATTTGCTTTCGTACACATTTAGATGCATTGAGTACTTTTACATTAAATACTTTTGGGTACATTTAGGAGATTATACTTTTATTTACATAACAGGTGTGTGGCGTAGTGGGCTAGTGCGTTGGTATTCGGATCTCGGGGTCACAGGTTCAAACCCCACTGCAGTCAGCATGTCGTCGTGTCCCTGAGACATGTCATGTAATAACAAGCAGCCAGGACTTTTGCTGGTAAGAGAGCTGTTCGTATTGTATTGGTAAATAGTATGGTAATAGTATTTTGACTTAAGTAAGGGATCTGAATACTTCCTCCAGCTCTGAGTGATTGGAGTGTTGATTAGTTTTCTACTCATCAAGTGGGGGAATGAATTGTGGACTTTTGACCATATTAATGTGTGTTTATTGCGTCAATGTGTGTGTTTGTCGACCCAAAGGTTGTCCAGGTTGGATCATGATGCCAGGCCATCGATCCGGACGAGCTGCGAGGAAGAGGAGGAAGAAGCAAGAGAGCATCACCCAGTCAGGTATGAACCAAGATAATTGCTGTGCTTTCGTATGTTTCCTGTTTCATCACGGACACGTCTCTCTTCTGTTCTCTCCCATCACCATCTGTTCCTCCTCTCTCTCCAGTCTCTCTGAGCCACCAGCAGCAGTACGTGAGGCTGAAGACGTTTCTCCACCAGAGAGGATTCACATCAGCGCTGCTGCAGCCGGCTCGCTTCACCGGTACGACTCGCTGTGAAAAGAGAGATTGATAGGAAGGCTGTGGCTCAGTGGATAGTGTGATGGACTTCGAATCAGGAGGTGGCAAGTTTGAGTCCCACTGCAGTCTGGGCAAGACACTTCACCCCAAAGTGCTCCTGTGGGGATTGCCCACTGTACTGTAACGGCCCGTCCACACTACAGCTTCGACAGCTTCAAAAATGGTTTCCAACGCGTCTGTCCCACTTTGAATTGGGTGACGTCAATTTTCGCCGAACTGCATTGTGGGAAGCAGAGCGGAGCTTTCCTGGCGTTTCAGGCTGCACAAGTTGAGCAATGTTCAACTTTTGAAGCTTCTGAAGCTTTCGGTGGAAGCGTCAGCCAATCAAATCATATGCCAGTACAAGCTCTAGCCAATCAAACCGCTGCTTGTGTGTCAGGGGCGGGAGATTCATGTGATTGGTTGTTGGTCGAGCTTCAGACACGCCCAGCTCCAAGCTTTTTTTGAAGCTGTAGTGTGGACCGGCCGTAAGTCGCTTTGGATAAAAGCGTCTAACAAATTGACATGTAATTGTTCACAGTCTGGATCTCAGTCGTATCAGAAACAGGTTTATTACCAGGTGGGTTGACACATACGAGGAATTTGACTTGAATGTCATGCTGCATCCGGAGCAGGGTGTACTTTTATTGGAGATGTGTCTGTTGTCCGTGTTTGTTTTTAGAGTGTGTCAGGATGGATCCCTTGTCTTTTTATCTGCAAACTAAATCTACCTACGGGTACAAGTAAAGAACCCGATACATGAAATTAAAGCAAAAATGTAAAACACACCATTATTAATATTATTAAGCACAACATCTACATGAAGACCTGGATTCTGCGTGGATATGTCTGGTTTGAAATGCAACGTTTAGATAAAGCAGTTTCCTTAGATGTGAGAAGAAATAGTCTTAACACCAAATGATTGCACACACAGTATGAAGCTGGTCTTGCTCAGTGTCTTTTTGCACCATCTGCACAACTCTAAATGAAGAGATGAACTCTGCAGATGTTAAGATAGCATCGCTTAGAAAAAAGCAGTTTCTTCAGATGTGAGAAGAAATAGTCTTAACACCAAATGATTGACAGATGAATCAGCCAATCCGCTTCTCCAGATTCCACTCCTAAAGAGCATATATTAGCTGCCATGTAGAAACGTTCAGATAAACCTGTGTATAATAATCTGTCTGCTGGCTTAAAGTAAACTATTATGTGTTTGTTGCTTCTCTAATTTCAGACACAGGCAGAGGACTTCAAGCTCTCAAGACCATCAAGGTAAAACTGCATCTGATTAAATAAACTACAACACAGTAATAATACCGTTTATAAGGTAATACTTCAATGTCTGCTAAAGAAAACAATCACAGCATTAATTCTTCTTCTGCTTTAACAAGGATGCTGGCGTCATCTACATATATTCTTCGTGTGTGCAAAGATTTATGCTTCTGCGTTAATAACTTTAAAACAAAACTCAGATGATTTAAAACAATCATATTCTCTGTTTTTCTGTCAGTCTGGAGAGCTGATCATCTCTCTGCCGGAGTCGTGTCTCCTCACAACTTCAACTGTTCTGAACAGCTACCTGGGTCCCTATATAAAGAGGTAATTGTTAGAAAAATCTCACTCGTCCCCGGCTTGAGCTTCAATCTCAGGATCCATGTATTTGTGATCCTCTCAAGAATGGAAGTAGTCATCACATACATTGCATGTCACTTGCTTTTATCCAAAGAGACTTACATACTCAACACTGTGGACAATCCCCACAGGAGCAATCTGGGGTGAAGTGTCTCAGGGACACAACGACATGCTGACTGCAGTGGGGTTTGAACCTGTGCTCCCCTGATCCCAACACCAAGGCTCTACCCACTGCACCACACGCCTCCTCTAGTTCCAGAACAGTGTCCTTCACATGCTGATATCCAAGAGAGGGAGTCACAGTCACAAGATGCAGGAATACCGGTTCTTGTTATCATACATCCTGTCATGTTCAAAATACTGAGTCTTTCTCAAAATTCTGACTTTTTCCTTAAAATTCTGACTTTTTTCTCAAAATCCTGACTTTTTCTCAAAATCTGACTTTTAATACAAATTCTGACTTTTTCCTCAAAATTCTGACTTTTTCCTCAAAATCTTGTGTTTTTCTCAAAATTCTGACTTTTTCCTCAAAATCCTGACGTTTTCTCAAAATCCATAAATTCTGACTTTTACAAAAAAATCTGACTTTTACAAAAAAATCTGACTTTTTCTCAAAATCTTTAAATTCTGACTTTTTCTCAAAATCTCAAAATGTTAATAATCCCTGGTCTCCGGCTTGAGCTTCAACATCAGGATCCATGTGTCTGTGATCCTCTCCAGAATGGAAGGAGTCATCACATACAGAGCATCAACTAGTTCCTGAACAGTGTCCTTCACATGCTGATATCCAAGAGAGGGAGTTACACAGTCACAAGATGGAGGAATAGAAAGCAGTATTCAATGTTTACTTCAGATTAGCTCCACGTCAGAAATGAGCATGCTTGATGTCTCTCTCCATAGAGGCTGAATCATCATGTTAATCACATATGCCTCAAACAGTCCTGATGCTCTTCTAGGTAATCACACATCCTGTCATGTTATTTCCCCAACAGTAATCAACACATATTTAAAACTTTATAAACATCAGAATATGTCCAACAGTGGACGAAATGACAAACCGTAAACCTTAACCCTTATAGAGGTTTGGATTCAACTATATCGTTTTAAAAGTGAAGTTTTTTTGTTTTATTTCATACTGAATGTACCATACCTAAAGAGGAATGTAAAACAGAGTATCAGAGTACTTCAAATCCTTAAGAACACTAGCTTAGTGAAAGAAAAATGTTCACGGTTTGAAAAGTGCTTGGATTTTGTGTTTATTGTTTGAAATTGGTTTAAATTCTAATTGTATTACATTGATTATAAATCACTACCAGGACTAAATACTTAGCTTTTGAGATAAAGGGGGAAAAAAATGCTTCAATTCGTATAAATATGTTTATTAAGCCAGCTATAAGGTGCTGAAAAAATGCACCTGAAATGCTTGAAATGACTTTCTATGTGTAAAAAGTTGTCGGAAATATGTAGTAAGCAATGGGTGCATAGAGTACATTTAAAAACATTGCAAACACCCAAAACCTAAACTGTCTTCAGCTGGAAGCTTCGTATCATAATAATAGGAATAATTAGCATTTGAGATAAAGAGGAACAAAAATGCTTCAATTTGTATAAATATGTTCATTAAGCCAGCTATAAGGTGCTCGAAGAGCCTGGAAATGCTTGAAAATAGCTTCTATGTGTAAAAAGGTGTAGGACATATGTAGTAAGCGACGTATATGGGTGCATAGAGGACATTTAAAAACATGCCTAGCCTAAACCGTCCTTATGTTTCTCTCCTCAGCTGGAGGCCTCGTATCTCCCCTCTTCTGGCGCTCTGTGTGTTCCTGGTGTGTGAGCGGCACCGAGGCGAGGCGTCTGATTGGTTCCCCTACATCGACGTGCTGCCTAAAACCTACACATGTCCCGCCTACTTCAGCGATGATGTCATGGCCGTTCTGCCAACCAGCGTGCAGAGAAAAGCTCTGGATCAGAGGGAGGAGGTGAGAGGAATCCACTCCTCTCACCTGAGCCTGTTCAGGTGGGTCTCTCTCTGAAACCAGTCACACAGGTTGCTCAAAACACTGTGTCGTTAGCAGGGCAGAGGTTATTTTAGCAGTTGATGTTGAGACTTGTTTGCATTAAGATGAAAGTACTCACAAGATCCTTATTGTCATTACACGTACAACAATGTTTTTTAGGTTTCTCTCTGCAGTTTAAATAAAAGCAGTGATCAAAGCAGTAAAGCAGCAAAGAGTAGATTACTAAAATAGAAGGCACTAGTTAAAATACATTTACAAAATTACTAAATGTTCAGGCAAAGGTAGAAAAGGTACAGATTTAGTTTAGAAAGGGATTCTTGAGGTACTGAGTGTTTGTGTTCATGGTTGGTTGCATTTATTGTAGGTTGCTTTGCATAAAAGTGTGTGTATTGTAATTATTGATCCAGATCCTTGCAGCCAATCCTGAGTCAGCCTGTGGAGGAGGTGCTGACATATGAAGCATTAAGGTACACACACACACACACGCACACACACACACACACACACACACACACACACACACACACACACACACACACACACACACACACCATGTAACCCTAACCCACTTCAGGGGACATTACATTGACTTACATGCATTTCCTGGAGACTTACCCTAAACCTAAACCTAACCAAGTCTTCACCCTAAAATTAATGATTCCCCTTATGGGGACCTGCCATATGTCCCCATAAGGGAGGCGAGTCCCCACACGTGACTGTGTAAACAGGCATGCATGCACACACACACACACACACACACCACACACACACACACACACACACACACACACACACACACACACACACACACACACACACACACACACCACACACACACACACACACACACACACACACACACACACACTACACACTTGTAGAAGTTAAATGTAGTCTTTACCTAAATCTTGACAGGTGCTCAAAGTTTTTTACTTTATTCAGGTAAATACAGTATGTGTTTTTTTATAAATGGTAAATTCACTCAATAAACGGCCGATCCTTAAAAGTTCTGAAAAAGCTTTTAAAAAGCGTGATTTAAACTTTTGAATCTTCTAAAACTGTGAAGACAGTTTTGGTTTTTTTCTGACATTGGAATTTAAACTCTCCAGAAAATTGCTCATTAAAACAACAATTCTAATGTTTTGGGTTATTTATTCCTAAATGTTGGTTATTTTAAAGCTGGATTTTTACGGGTGGAATTAAAACGTCCATATTAATTATAAATGTTGTCTTAAACTGTAGGAACCTTGTTATGGCAGTAAAAGTATCTCCAGACGAAAATGAAATGGATTGTTTTTCTGTTAGTGAGATGTTTCCTCGTCCTCCAGGTGGGCGTGGTGTAGAGTCATGTACAAGTTAATGTACGTCTAGTTATAATCTTGACAGGTGTTCAAAAGTTCCAGTTTAATATTTCCAAAGGTACTTCCTTCATTAAGGTATATACGTGTTACATTTCAATGGTGAATCACCGGATGGACATTCATTTATGCAGGGTTCAACCGGACCCTTTAATACTCTCAATCGGATTTACATGATAATAATAATAAGGCCTCAACGATTCTTATTTAATCTTTCAAATGCTTTTAAATGGGTTAAAATTGTATTAAAGGGGACCTATCATGCAAAATGCACTTTTTGATGTCTTTTATTCATCAATGTGTCCCCGGTGTGTCGGGGAACTCACGCAGCGTCAGGAAATAAAACCCTCTCTCTTTTCCTCCGTACCCAAATCTCTAAAAACGGGGAACAACGGAGCTGATCCAGATTTGCGTCCGATATGACGTAATATCTGAAATGTGGACCCACGGCCCAATCAGAAACGTTGCTATCAGAAACAATGCCCGACTATTTTGGACGTAATATGGTCGGTGTTTACATTAGCATTGCTAACACTCAGAGCTAACCTGTGCTGGAGAGCATGTGTGTGAAGAAGCAGGAAGTAAAAAGGAACTCACCTTGTGGTATAACCGGCAAGAGAGAAAGCCTTTGAGCTCCAAACTGTTTCAGAGAGAACCCTTGATAATCCATGATATGGCGTTTCATCACGGCAGCATTTAGTTTAGACAGTAGCTGCCGGGTCCCGCGTGAGCTCAGACCCCTGCTTTCTTTTTTCTTTATCAATTTTTAAAAAGCTTTAAACCCAAAGTCATTACTTTAGAAACAGGAAGTGAATTAGAGGGAGATGAGGCATGGCTAGAATGGGTGATCTGTTTGGTATTTTGAGCAAAACACTTCATCGACATGTTTTTCATATATGTTTATATATCTGAGACCTATGTTGTTGCCTAAAAATAGCATGATAGGTGATCTTTAAGCTTTAAGAACCTTCTTATGGCATAAACATTTTAAAAGAGCTGGACTGTTTTTCTGTTATAAAGGATATCAAGATGTTTCCCTCGTCCTCCAGGTGGGCGTGGTGCAGTGTGAACACCCGCTCCGTCTTCATGTCCCACCCGTTCAGCGACTTCCTGTTCGGACAGGATGTTTACGCTTTAGCTCCGTTTCTGGACCTGCTCAACCACCGTCCTGACGTGCAGGTAAACTACAGGAAACGCTATTATAAGCTGTGTATCTTTATTTAAGGTACACACATTACGATTAAACAAAGACTCTATCACACTAACATATAATTAAACACATAAAAGAACAGATCTATAAACTATATACCAGCACATATAACAATACCATTATAATAGTACGATTCATTTCACCTGAAAACTAAAATCAAGACTTGTAGCCCGATATCCATGTTTTTGCACCATGGGAAAAAGTTAAATAAATGTCAATATTGGAGTTGTTTTTCCACATTATTGAGTTTTACCTGATTGGACAGTCAGAAAGCCGATACAATGTTCCACAAATGTCATTATAAATATATATATTGTATGTTTTTCCTTCCTTTTCAGGTAAAAGCCAGTTTCAATGAGGTGTCGCGGTGTTATGAAATCAGGAGTGTTTCGGGGACGCTTCGGTACGAACAGGCCTTCATAAACTACGACTCCCATGATTCTCAGCGGCTGATGATGGAGTACGGCTTCGTGGCTTCCTGTAACCCCAACAGCGTGGTGTACGTGGATACAGGTGAAATATAGGAGAACAAATAAAAAAATACACCTAATCTTTGACCCTGAAGCAACTCCATGTTTCCTTGAATGCATCACAGATGTAAACAAATATTTAAAATGTTGTAACGTAAGAAAAACGTATTATATTGGGGGGAAAAATGTATATTTTCTGAACAACCAATGTTTATATTTGAAACAATTTAAAGCGTATTTTCAACATAATAAACTTTTGGTGTTATAGTTCAAGATAATTAAAGGGGACCTATCATGCAAAATGCACTTTGTGATGTCTTTTATACATAACCATGTGTCCCCGGTGTGTCGGGGAACTCACGCAGCGTCAGAAAATAAAACCCTCTCTCTTCCTCCATACCCAAATCTTTTAAAAACGAGGGTACAACGAGCGGATACAGATTTGCTGCCGATATGACGTCAAATCGGCGGTGGACCCGCAGAGAGTTGCTATCAGAAACAATGCCTGACGTGTTTTGGACGTAATCTCGTCTTTGTTTACATTAGCATCGCTAACACTCAGAGCTAACCTGTACTGGAGAGCACATGTGTTTAAAAAGCAGGAAATTAAAAAAAGAACTCACCTTGTGATAAACCCCAAGAGAAAAAGCATTTGAGCTCCATACTGTTTCAGAAATAATCCTTGATGTGGTTTAGAACAGGATGGCGTTTTATCACAGCAGAATTTAACTTTATCTCCGGTAGAATTCTGGTCAGGCATTAGCTCCGCCTCCTCTTTTTTATTTTTATTAAGCTAAGGACCCAAAATCAAGCCCCCAGGAAGTGAGCCGGACTCTGTGCCCAACATTCGTTGTGTCTGTCACTACCCGATCCGTCCCCCTGCCCGATCGGTACTGTGCATGTGCGAGATGGTCCGCCATATTGGACAACTCCGGATGGCAACCCAAGATGGACACTTGACACAGTGGCTTTTAGCAAAGCTCAAAAAGAAATCTCAAGAGAGATGAGTTATTGTTATTACAACGTGACTTCACTATTATTTAACAACTCTTTTTATGGGGTTCTTTTATTTGGGGTTAAGTACATAGTCAGAATAAGTGAGAAATTAATTTAACTTCTGTTACATTACATTACATTGCATTTAGCTGACGCTTTTATCCAAAGCGACTTACAATAAGTTAGACAGCCATATGCCATACATTTTTGCATACATTCACAGTAAATATTTATTCAGTATCAAGTGTCCTTCTTGGGTTGCCGTCCGGAGTTGTCCAATATGGCGGACCATCTCGTACATGCGCAGTACCGATCGGGCAGGGGGATGGATCGGGTAGTGACAGTGTCCAAACGGCGTTACTGCAACTTCCGTATCAGGCCGTGACGTCACTGGGCCCAAAACTACTTTTTCTCAATGACTAACATTGGGATAATTTTTAAACTAAATAAACTGCCCATTATGAACTATTTTATAGCCCATAATATGTGCCTTAAAATAGCATGACAGATGCACTTTAAAGTGACAGTATATATATATATATATATATATATATATATATATATATCTGTGTGTCTCTGTTTCCTCAGATCTCCTCTGTGATGTTTTAAAAGCTGACAGGGGTTTGGATCAGAAGATGAAGTTTCTCAGAGAAAATAATTTCATTAAGTAAGATTTTTTATTTGTCATTGTTGATTTTATGTTGATCACATTGTTTTAATGTAAGCTGCTGTTATCGTACTACTAGATATGATTATTATTATTATAATGAATAGAATAGAGAATACATTCTTTATTGATTCCAAATTAGGAAATAGTTTTGTTAGTTTAATGTTTACGAGGCATTTCACTTATTCCTGTATTTTTGTGTATTTATTTCCGAATGTATTCAGTTATTTCTGTATTTATTTATCCATTTAATCATTTAAATGTATGCCTTTTCCCGTCCTACATATCCCACTGCATTGCACACACAAATGTATTACAATTTGAATAAGTCTAAAGTGTTTCCTCTTCCTCTCAGTAACCTCACAGTGTCCAGTGAGGGGCCGAGCTGGAGGCTGCTGACGGCTCTCAGACTGATGGCTCTGCCTCAAACTCTGTAGTAAGACCATTCATAATGTGTTGTATTGTTTGGATGGATCAGAATAGAAAGTGTTAATGTATAATTTATTCATACGATGTGTGTTTTTTATTTCCAGTCCCCAGTGGAAGGCGGTGTTGCTCGGTCAGCGGGTGTGTGAGGAGAGAGAGGAGAGGAGCGTCAGGACCGTGAAGACTCTCTGTGAGAGGATACTGCAGGACACACACACCGCTCTGGAGAAGGTACACACACACACACACACACACACACACACACACACACACATACACACATCGCTCTGGAGAAGGTACACACACACACACACACACACACATACACACATCGCTCTGGAGAAGGTACACACACACACACACACACACAGACATACACACACCGCTCTGGAGAAGGTACACACACACACACTGCTCTGGAGAAGGTACACACACACACACACACAGACATACACACACCGCTCTGGAGAAGGTACATACACACACACACACACTGCTCTGGAGAAGGTACACACACACAGACACACACACCGCTCTGGAGAAGGTACACACACACAGACACACACACTGCTCTGGAGAAGGTACATAGTACACACACACTGCTCTGGAGAAGGTACACACACACTGCTCTGGAGAAGGTACACACACACACTGCTCTGGAGAAGGTACACACACACAGACATACACACTGCTCTGGAGAAGGTACATAGTACACACACACTGCTCTGGAGAAGGTACACACACACACTGCTCTGTAGAAGGTACACACACACTGCTCTGGAGAAGGCAGACACACACACACACACAGACATCACACACACAGCTCTGGAGAAGGTACACACACACACACACACACACTGCACTGGAGAAGGTACACACACACACTGCTCTGGAGAAGGTACACACACACACTGCTCTGGAGAAGGTACACACACACACACACAGCTCTGGAGAAGGTACACACACACTGCTCTGGAGAAGGCAGACACACACACACACACACACACACACACACACACACAGACATCACACACACAGCTCTGGAGAAGGTGTGTGTGTCTGCACAAACACACTTAAGATATTTTACTTGAGTAAAAGCCAAAATACTAAATAGTACAAACACTGTTACGTCTCTTAAGTCCTGCAGTCATCTTACTCAGGTGAAAGCACAACAATATGAACCTTAAAACTCTGATTATCGGTGCATTAATATGTCAAAGCTGCTTAATGTGGAGCTCATGTGAATTACTTTTTATACTGCTGCTAGTCTGCTACTACTTCTGCTATTTGTACTGCTGGATCTTAAACTATAATTATATGCAAATGTTTATTTATTACTAATTTTATATTTTGTATTAGCTATTAATCGGAATCTATAAAGTAACTTTAGCACACACACACACACACACACACACACACACACACACACACACACACACACACACACACACACACACACACACACACACACACACACACACACACACACACACACACACACACACCACACACACACACACACACACACACACACTTAGTGGTGGAATAAGATATTTTACTTGAGTAAAAGTAGCAATACTATCTGAAAAACAGATTAAATACAATTAAAAGTCTTGCATTCAAAATCGTACTGAACGTTAGTAAAGTTAAAACTAATATTATCAATAAAATGAACGTTAAACAGTAAACACTGATGATTGATCACAGCTGGTTAATCTGAAGCTAATTTGAATACCTTTATATACTGCTGCTGTATATTACAATCTATAATTATATATCAATGTTTATCTATATGTTGTATTATAGCTAATAATCTGAGTCTAATGTCTGTGTGTGTGTGTGTGTGTGTGTGTGTGTGTGTGTGTGTGTGTGTGTGTGTGTGTGTAGATCTCCCTCCTGCAGTGTGTGTGTCCGTCTCTCACGGAGCAGCTTCATGTGGTCGAGGCTCTGCGACAGGAGGAGAGGTGCATCCTGGGAAATTGTCTTAAGGCAATGGAATGCTCAGCGGAACAACAAACACCAGACGAACTGTTGTCACGGCAACCAGATGATGCTGATGACAACGAAGACGCTGTGAGCTGATTGGTGCTTATTTCTGCCAGTCACTACTAGAAGCAATGTGATTGGCTGAAGTGGAGATGCTGTTTTATTTCAGTAGTTTGTGCTGTTCACCACAATCTACTGAGTTAGAGAACAGCCAAAGACTATGGCCCTTTCTCATTTCATCAAATCCCCCTCCTCGACTCCTCGGTCCTCCGGTAGTGACCCGGAAATGAATTTTAGCGCGCCATGTTGAAGGACATCTAATTTCTCTAAATGCACATCGAGGATTGAGCGTCGAGGAGGCTCTCTGGAGGAGCTATAACCGAGGATACACGTGTGTGTGTGTGTGTGTGTGTGTGTGTGTGTGTGTGTGTGTGTGTGTGTGTGTGTGTGTGTGTGTGTGTGCGTAGATGCGGTGGACAGACAGGTCTCAGTTGGTTTGGTGTCCCATGCTTACTTTTAATACTTGTAAATGAAACTTTTAAAAAATAACAATGAATCAAAGTAAATATATAAGTCATCATGAACACATCTGTCCATCAGACAGAGGGCTGCTGTACCTCCTGTCATCATTAATGGATGTCTCTTTAAAATGACCGCTCAGAGGAGAGGAGTTCTCATTTCTCTAACCGCCTGCTGCTTCCCCTCCTCTCTCCTCGGTTCCCCTCCTCGACTCCTCCACTCGCATCTCCTGTGGGCGGGACTAAGTCTCGAGGATAGGAGTCGAGGAGGGGAATTAGAGAAATGAGAAAGGCCCACAGTGTGGGCTCTGCAGTGTTTACATACTGGTTAATGGAAAATAAACTATGAAAAGACTTGGATATTTACAGAAAACCTCGATCAAAGCTGCCGTTTTTTAAGTTACGTTGCTGTAGCTGCACTTCCGCAGAGGAACGGACTATTTTCTCTTTGAAAACACAATAAGATCATTATTAAATGATAAAAACACTTTTAAAATCAGTATTGTGAGACTTATCGTTGGTTTATTTAGTATGAAAGTTGTACATTACATGACAAACAGCTGATGAAACTGCAGATGTGAAGTGATTCCTGTGAGTTTTAGCCATGTACATTTTACATGAATTTGGTCAGAGTTGAACAACGGCCTTTTTCTTCTGGTGGCGCTGCACGGTCTCCATGGTAACCGTGGCTTCGTAGAGAGGGACGGCCTCCTCAGGCTGAGGTCTGCAGAGACAAACACCTTTAGATTTAAAGGTCTCCTAATATACTGTTTTTCATCAATGCATCACAGCTCTCAGATATATCCAGGGCCTGTCTCTGATTGGCTGAAACACCAAACAGATCATTGCAGCATTACCCATAATCCACTCTGTTTCAGCCCTGTTTCCAAAGTGCTGATTCTCTGTCTGTTACTTTAGATGAAAATAATAAGCAGGATAATTAACACCTGTCACAAGAGATGAGAAAGATACCTGCTTTGTGTGGCGGCATTACCCGACAATACTGAACTGAAATTCATATTTTCTTATGATACATTTGAATGTCCTTGTATTTAAACATTGTCTAAAAAGCTCACACTGGTAAATGTAATTTAAGTTAGTTTGTAATGATAATTAAGGACGTGTCTGACTGCAGTATCTAGCCATGGATAAACTGTGTGAGTTATTTACCTGAGTACTCCAGTGGACATCTTCTCCACGATGTCCTTCAGGATATCTGACACAGGTCTGTTAAGGAGGGACTTCATGAACCTGATGATGTGCACATTATGATATTATTGGCTTCACACAGTGTTCAGAGGATACGCAGGTATCTTCCCTGCTGGGCGGAAGAAGCCGTCCACACCTCGTGGTTGAGGAACGTCAGAGAGGCAGATTTCAAATGCAGCAGTCGGCAATCTGGAGGGTCCAACTGTGAGAATACCCAGAGCAGCGAGACACGAGACAATTCAAGACCAATTTTAGCTTTCCAAATACAAAATCATTGCAATAAAATGTTACTTTTTCCTCTCAAATGTACAGTTCTGCATGTATGTTGTTGATATCCCTCCTTTTAATGTTATCATGCACGCGTGACGTATTAACATTTAATGTCCCCTGAAACCTCTGTTGTCTTTTACACACTTTGTTTTAGAAACTAGTCACAAGTGCGTTATCTATTGCAGTGTTTATGTTTTTATTGGGTTTTTTCAACAGCATAGAGTTATTCTATCAGAGCATGTATCAAAAGTAGGTAAACAAATCTTCACTTTATAGAAAAATAGGTAGAAGATAATGTTAACATGTATTTGTATGAACCACGCACCATATTTAAGGCATCTAACCAAAAACCCTCAGAAAAGGACCAGATGTGGAAAAACGCTGACTCGTTCCTGCACCACTTGGTTAGGAGGAGAGTAGAGAGGGACTCTTTAATAACTCATATATAAAGTGACTCACCTGCAGCTCTTTGTGGGATGTGACCCAGTGCCCCCCCACTCCCAGCACACTGATGATGTCATGTTTGTGTGGGAGGAGCTTCGTCTCATCGGACTCTTTCTCTTGAAGACGCACTATACACACACAGACAGAGACACACACACAGACAGAGACACACAGAGAGACACACACACAGACAGAGACACACACACAGACAGAGACACACACAGAGAGAGACACACACAGAGAGACACACACACACACAGAGAGAGACACACACACAGAGAGAGACACACACACACAGAGAGAGAGACACACACACAGACAGAGACACACAGAGAGACACACACACACACACAGAGAGAGACACACACAGAGAGACACACACACACAGAGAGAGACACACACACACAGAGAGACACACACAGAGAGAGACACAGAGAGACACACACAGAGAGAGAGACACACACACAGAGAGAGACACAGAGAGACACACACACACAGAGAGAGAGAGACACACACACAGACAGAGAGACACACACAGAGAGACACACACACACACACAGAGAGAGAGACACACACAGAGAGACACACACACACAGAGAGAGACACACACACACAGAGAGACACACACAGAGAGAGACACAGAGAGACACACACACACAGAGAGACACAGAGACACACACACACACAGAGACACACAGAGAGAGACACACACACACACACACACACACACACACACACACACACAGAGAGAGACACCGAGAGAGACACACACACACAGAGAGAGACACACACACACACAGAGACACACAGAGAGAGACACACACACACACACACACACAGAGAGACACCGAGAGAGACACACACACACAGAGAGAGACACACACAGAGAGAGACACACACACACACACAGACAGAGAGACACGAGAGAGACACACACAGAGAAAGAGACACACACACACACACACAGACAGAGAGACACGAGAGAGAGACACACACACCATTATCCTTTCTCAAATGTTAAGAAAATATTAAATAAGAATTTTAAAAAAATACAACAAAGGCAATCAAACCGTTTTTTTTTTAAAGATCATGGATCCAGGAGGATGTTAAAAATCTTCCAGGTGCTGATCATGTGTTTACCTCCAGAGTCGATGACGATGTCCACTCCCAGTCCTCCCGTCTCCTCCATAACCACGGAGAGCAGCTCTGATTGGTCTTTATACACTGGGATCACCTTTGCTTTACACACAAAGACACAGAAACATAAATATGGATCATAACGCAATAAAACAAACCCTGCAATCGTGCATTTCAGATCCTATCAGCAGAACATATCTCATTGGAAGCTCGTTTAAGTTGCAGTGGTTGCAATTCCAATGTTATCCACATGGTGGCGCCAGTTTTTTAAATGCATTCTCCCTTTTACAACGTTTACTCAAATCAGAAGGTCTTTGGGTGACAAACATCAAATGATCGTTAAATCTTTGAACAATTTTGTAAAAGATTATTACAAAAACAATACATCTGATAAACTGGTGATTTACAGAGCACAGGAATCATTGGGGATTTAGAAAATAAGATCGTATTGAACTGCCTTTTAGTGCAGGAATGAGAAGATTAGCGAGGGAAACAAGCCTGTAGTTCAGGAAGAAAGACAGAAGGAAAAGATCTCACCTACTAACGCGTCCTGAACACCTGAGGAAATGTGGAGCGGCGAGGAAAAGATCAGAAGAAGACGGAAAAAAGATGGAAATATGTTTATAAAAAGAGGGAAAGAGCCTGACATGATCACAAAAGCAAAGCGCTGTGTGGATAATTCATTATTTGTTTCAAGGACTTTCATTGGGTGATTGGGTTTTCATTTCTATTAGGGATTTAAAGAAGTGAACTGCAGTCATCACGATGTTGGCCTGTACGTACCCACGCTGGGTCGAAGCTGCTCCAGGAATGTGTGTTCTTCTGCTGTGTGTGACGTTGTAAAAACCTTCACTCCGTGGTAACACGCCAACTGGATGCACATGAGGCCAAAAGACTGGGAGCGGGACATGGGAAAAATAAACGTATTAATATGTTTTTATTTAGTTTAAAGGTCCCCTATTGTAGTGTTTTTCATCAATATATCACAGGTCTCAGATATATCCAGAGCCTGTCTCTGATTGGCTGAAACACCAAACAGATCATTGCAGCATTACCCATAATCCCCTCTGTTTCCAAAGTGCTGGTTCTCTGTCTGTTACTTTAGATGAAAATAAGGAGCCCCTCCCCACGCCCCTCTGAGAGAGATGTGGTTACAAAGAACTCAATAGTGCTCTAGGAGGAGATTCAGGTGATAAGTGGGGGGGGGGGGGGTTACCTTGGTTGCTGATTGGCTAATGGTTACACAAGACAAAACATCGTTATGACATCATAAAGTGGTCAAAATCTGATCAGCTCATTTTCAGACAGGTTTTTATAGAAATGGATCAAAAAGAGAGAGAATCTTTGTTCCTGAAACTTTCAGAGTCTCTTTCCACAGAGGGGACACATGTTGATGTAGAAGAGACATGAAGAAGAGGGGACACATGTTGATGTAGAAGAGACATGAAGAAGAGGGGACACATGTTGATGTAGAAGAGACATGAAGAAGAGGGGACACATGTTGATGTAGAAGAGACATGAAGAAGAGGGGACACATGTTGATGTAGAAGAGACATGAAGAAGAGGGGACACATGTTGATGTAGAAGAGACATGAAGAAGAGGGGACACATGTTGATGTAGAAGAGACATGAAGAAGAGGGGACACATGTTGATGTAGAAGAGACATGGAGAAGAGGGGACACATGTTGATGTAGAAGAGACATGAAGAAGAGGGGACACATGTTGATGTAGAAGAGACATGAAGAAGAGGGGACACATGTTGATGTAGAAGAGACATGAAGAAGAGGGGACACATGTTGATGTAGAAGAGACATGAAGAAGAGGGGACACATGTTGATGTAGAAGAGACATGAAGAAGTGGATTTAGAATAATAAGGGACCTTTAAAGTAGAAAAAGTGTGGAAATGTCCTCTGATTGGTTAAAACTATCCTAAAGAGAGTCATGGTTGCATAAAGAGTGTGTGTGCGCAATTTTGTTTGTCTTTTTTACGTACGCTGCCTCCATCCAGGACCAGGAGTGTGTG